CTTACTGCTTAAGTTTTACTGCTTAAGTTTTTCTATGTGCCAAGGCCCTTATGCGGGGTCTACAATGCGAGTCGCAAAGTCGTGAGTCGCAAGACGTGACCACGCACAATCGAATTTGAGGAGAATAATCGACTGTGATTGGTCACGTCTTGCGACTCACGACCACGAGTTTGCGACTCGCATTAATTGTAGACCTAGCATTAGTGGAGCGTTAAGCCCGGTGTCCACGATGCAAGAACTGGGTCCAAGTTTCGGTTTAAGCCAATAAAACTGCTACTTTTCTGTAAGAGCTGCAAGTTGATTGGCTTAAATCGAAACTTGGACACAGTTCTTGCATCGTGGACACCGGGCTTTATTTACTTCTGTAGTAACTTACGATATATCACTCGTTTACGCGGAGTAAATTATCGTAAGTTACTACAAAATGTCGTTTACGCGAAGAAAAATCCCGTTTACGCGAAGGAATTATCGTAAGTTACTACAGAAGTAATGCTCGCGTAAGCGTAGTATTGTGTCAGTAAATGGAAAACACTTTTATTTACGGTAGAACTTCTACCGTAGAAGTCGCACTGGCAAGATGTCAAGCAGTACGGCAATGTGGAGGGGTACTTTTTAGGTTTTCCATGAGTCCATGGGAAGAGACCTGCGAGAGACGGACGAGTTTTCGTCTGATCTACTCTCAATCTCTCGTTGGATCACGTTGGACGGAGTACATGTACATACATATTACAATTTTAGGGCTTCAATGTTGTAATAATATGACAATTATATTATTTATATGTATCATTATATTTGTTAAATATTACAGAATATCTAAAAAATTTTGTAGTTTGATTTATTATCATTTTTTCATATAGGTTTACATCACAGATACACAACGCTATTAGAATTGATTACAAAGTCGTATGCACTGTCGTAGTTTAAAATTGTATCTTTAAAGTTTTTTAATTTGATAACAGTGTGTTTATGTACTTTCAAGTTCTTCCTTTTGTATCTTACTACCGTAATCATTTTATCCAAGATGTAATGTAACCACAGAACATTCGTATATGGTTCAAATTTTCGCCAATTATTCCTACATACATAATAAAAATACGGTATAAAAAAAAAGATACAAAATAAAACATATGCAACTTACTGAATTTTGTCACGCATAAGACGATAAATCTCAAATTGATATTCGCCATGAGCAGTAAATAAAGCTGGATCTAGTGCAAGATCATTATATATGCAGCACCCTTGGTATAGCATTCTCGATAGTGTAAAATCTATTATAGATACCTTGAAAAAAAATTCATTAAAGTTATACATCAAAGTTGTAATAGTATTTAAAACGTCTTTCGTAGAACACACCTTTACACCTTTGCTAGGAAACTTGACCTCTCTCCCGCCAAGATTGTAATAAATATATGGTTCTTTTGTTCTTGATACCAATACATTACCCCAATGCAAGTCTCTATGTTCAAATTCAAGTGCCTTTTCTGCAATTGCTAATGCTAATGCTATCTGTAAAAAATAAAAATTTAAATACTAATGGATGAATAACTAATTAAACATAATTTTCGAAAAGTGTATTTGTACCTTACCGCAATTATAAATAACAGACCTGTAAAAATAAAGCATAAGCCTCTTCCGCGGTTTGGAAAACGAAGGCTTCAAGATCTTCTCCACCGTGGCCGAGTTCAAGAGCAATATATAATTGATTTTCACCAAACATCGATGGACAATCGTTATCGGATGTTTTGTTATTATCATAAATATTCCAAAGTTCTACGAGTTTCTCTGGATATTTTCCTTTAATACAGCTGATATTTTTAACTTCTACGAATCCATTAGTTTTGTATGTAGCATTTAATTTCAGATCATCCAATTCTCTGCAAACATCCTCTTTAGTGATTTTTATCAATAATGTCTGCATGCAATTGACTTACATAATGAGTTGACTCACTTTGCAATCATGATTTCTGACAATATTTCACTGAATTTCTTTTGTTGCTCACCATTGACTAACTGTTCGTTTTCTATAGGAATAATTTTTATAACAGATTTTTTACCATCGTACTCGTAAAGAAAAACTTCTCCATAAACACCTTCGCCTATTTTGCAACAATGTTCTAAATAGCTGTCAATATAAACAATTAATAATACAGTTTATATATATTATAGTGTTAATAACTAATAACTAATAACTATACAAATATATACAAAGATTTACATACGAATCTGGGAAACGATCCGCAAAAGACATATAACAGTTTTGGGAACATTTCTGTAAAACAACGTCTCTCGCAATTGTGGAACTACTGATAATTCGATCATCATGTATCAATGATTCCTCTTGATCTGTAATATTCGTTTTATTTATATCAATTAATATAATATTCCGTGTAATATATAAATATATAAATATGTATTGTCGTAAAACGAATAAAATATAGCAACATATGAGTGAAAATACTTACATGATAGTTTCAAGCTTGGAGATTTTTCTGTTGTTATTCCAAATGCTTCAAGAAATGGAGTATCTTTGATATCACGCTTGATGCTTGTATTATTAAGCACAACTCTCACTGAGATTCTTTTAGAAAATCTAGTATAATTCGTTACATTGAATTCTTTACAGCTGTTACTGTCAAATGGTGATACGTTTGACGCATTGAGTCTATCACTAGATAGATCCGTGTCATTTTTGCCTTTTTTCAAGCAACTTTGGAAAATTCCTGCACATAATAATTGTTACAATTTTACTAGTGGTCTACCACACTATATACAGGTTGTATATACAGGTTGTAACAAAAAAGTTGTCCGCTACTTTAAGAGTATAAATAGTACGTATAAAAATTATGAAAAAAATTCTTATTAATATAGATTCGCAAATGATTTCCTATTAAGTTATGGGCATTACAACTTTTGAGCTCAAATTCGGTTTATTAACGAACAGAATACGTTCGAAGTTGTCAAAATACGTACAAAAATTAAAGATGTTCAAAATGGCATCCTTGCATGACAATAAATTGTTCATCTTCTCATGTTCGCCCTAAAATGTTCAAAGATACCAGGAATATTACGTATTTCTGCACATCCATCCTGTACACATTGGTACCGAATCGAACAATGTATTGTTCATGCAAAGATGCCATTTTGAACATTTTCTTTAATTTTTGTACGTATTTTGACAACTTAAAACGTATTCTGTTCGTTAATAAACCGAATTTAAGCTCAAAAGTTGTAATGCCCATAACTCAGTAGGAAATCATTTGCGAATCTATATTGATAGGAATTTTTTTCATTATTTTGATGTGTACTATTCATCCTTAAAATAGCGGACAACTTTTTTGTTACACCTTGTATATACTGTATAATACTATCAGATTATAAATACCACAAAGTCTATCCATTTCCTGAAAACTATAAATACAACTATCAAAACTCTTTTTTTACTCAGTCTCATTATTATAAAAATGGGTAATTATGAAAGAGAGGGGCTTCCTCACCGATTTGGCTGAAACTTCACAATTGTGTGTATTTTGGTGCGTAAAACATAAATGTATAAGTTAAAATTGTCGCCCTTAATTAGAAAAAAAGTTATTAAGTACTAAAGTTGACAGTTGCGTGGTTAGGATGTCTGTCATTTATTATTATACTTTGTATTTATAGACTTTTTAATATGCCATTTTCTGCTGTAAAAAAAAGCATAATAACTATTTCTATTATCTTTTTTAATCATTTACAATATATTATGGCATTATTATTTTCTTTGAAAAATATGCAGTTTTTGTTGTACTAAATATGGTTGGTCCAACTATTCTCTGCTTTAACAAAAAACATAAATTATTATTTTCTTTGGAAAATATGCAGTTATGTTGTACTGAATATGCTAGAATATATCTATTGAATAAATGGTTCGATAATAGAAATAGAGTTATTATGCTTTTTTTAAAGCAGAAAATAATTGGCATATTAAAGTCTATAAATATAAAGTATAATAAATGACAGACATCCCAATCACGCAACCGTCAACTTTAGTATTTAATAACTTTTTTCCTAATTGAGAGCGACAATTTTAACTTATAGATTCATGTTTTACGTACCAAAATACACAAAATTGTAAAGTTTCAGCCAAATTGGTGAGAAAACCCCTCTCCTTCATAATTACCATTAAATATACAAATCACAAGACACTTCTTATTATATTTGTTCATAAGATGTTATTGGTTATTGCCTCTAAATAAAAATGTTGTTTAATAAATTACCTACAGTTGTTTTTTAAGAAAATTAAGGCTATAGTCCACTTAACATTATAAATGCTTCAAAGCATTTGTAGCATCAAATGGACTGTAGCCTAAAATAATATAAATATTCGGAATCTTACTTAATATATAAACTTATATAGGGTAGGTTCGCGGAGCGTGCTATTAGTGCTATTGCATTATTCTTAATAAATATGTATACATATGTATATAAGTATGTATAATCAGGTATGTATAAGTATGTATAATCAGGTATGTTATCTATGTAGTAAAAGTACACAGAGTGCTTTTATTTAGTGACACAAATCGACACAAGTATCATTCTGTCTTTGTTACATTTAATGTCAAGAAAGATAGAATGACGTTTGTGTCACTAAATGGAAAGCATTGTCTGTTACAAAAATAACTGAAAAATTACATGTAAAATAAAAATCATTTTTATAAAAAAGATATAGCTTTATCGATATCGATGTATAAGAAATGATTTCTTATAATAATTTATGTAATTTATGTTTGCATTACGATATGCATGCATACATATGTACATTCTTTAACATGTTAGTATTATAATTATCTAATATAAAAAATTACCTCGTTTCTGCATATCCAATATATTTCTAACGCTGTGCCTCCATTTTTTCCCTTTTCCAATACTTAACTTGTCTAAATCGGATCCATTGTTTATATTGTTTAATATTGACAAAGATCTAGCCCAATACTTGCCCGGTTTTAAAAAAACAGATTTCTCTATTTGTTTATTTGTACTATTGTATTGAGTCGCACAATTGAATGATTCAGAATGATCAAAAGACGAATTTATTACATTTTTAGAACGCTCGGAATTATATGCTAATTGAACATTAGAAAAATCTTTATCAGTTGCGACACAACAAAATATTTCGTTGTTCGATTGTGTGGCTTCATTATTCAAACTATTGGAGATATTTGACATGCTAAGATGCCATTTAGGATACTGTATTCTTCTTCCTATTCTGATCGGATCTTGCAATCGTGTAAAGGGACAAGCATCAACCATATTATCTTGACTTTTACCGAGTACACTATGTTTACTAATGTCAACAGTTTCATCTTTAAGATTTTCGTGAACCGTTTCTGCAGCATTTATTTTTGTATTGTAATTTTTTTGAAATTCACTGTCATATTTTTGTCTCATATGCATGTCATTATCTAAATCTCTGAATGTTATACATACTTTAGAAGGTATGTATCGCGAGCTTGCATCAGCTTGCTCATTGTCACTTAATAATTGCTTTTGTTCTAAACATAAGTCAACGGATGAATCCGCCTTACTTATTTTTGCAAATTTACATGCCAGCGCATCCGAAAAACATCTTTCTTTTATGTTATCTTTATTTGTACCTTTCGCCAAATGATTATATGCTGTATCGTCAAATAATGATCGTGATTGATTAGTACTTACAGCAGACACATTTAAGGAATACGGAATTTCAACATTACATTTTGTTTCATATTTCTGAGTAACTGTATGAGTATTGTCCTTGTAAGATGTTATTTCGTTCTTAAGAGCGGAATCTGTAGACATTTGGGATTTCTGGGACAATAAAACTTGTGTTTGTTGTTCCTGTATTTCTGCAGGATCGAGTTTATAGCATTCTGACATCAAAGAACGAGAATCTTTCCGATCAATGTTGGAAATATCTTCCTTTGTAGTTACTAATGAACATTCATGGCTCCAATGTAACTTGTCATAAATATTAGAATTAATAGGTGAAAAATTTATTAAATTGGTGGAAGGTTTGACTTGTTTGCCAATAGGAGTGCTAGAAGCTAAATTTTGCTTTTTTTCATTAGATACTGTACCATTTTTCTTTATAAACTCTTCTATTTTTAATCTTTCCACTTTTACAAAACTATTTTTAATTTTTTTCGTATCATACGGTGCAAACTCAATACTTTTATTGCAATTTGGTATAATTTCAGATGAATTATGGGAAACTAAATGCAATATATTTGACTTGTCACTTATATTGATAGTATTTTTCATGTTTCTTTTACTCTTCAATACGTACCAATCTTTAACAATATTATCACATATTGCTACAGAGCATTGTTTGACTGACTTGTGTTTAAAATTTCCAAAGTCATTATATTCAGTTGAGACTGATCGCGAAATAATATTCTGTGTTTTAGAAACATCTTTGTCAGTCTGTAAAGTATCCGTATACAAGCATTTTACACTGTGCAGTGTATCTTGCTTGTTTTCTGCAATCTCTTCACGATTCAATGTGTAATTCTGAACAGCGCAAGTATTTAGCTTAACAAAACATGGCTTGATGATTTGTTGATAATTTGCTATTTGTTTGAAATCTGTGATGGAATCACTTGTTCTAATTGATTTATTTTGTAATGTAATTCTCTTGTCGATCTCTAAAGCATTTTGATGCAAATGTTTATAGTTATTGTCATGTGAAATGCCATTCTTATATGAGGCTTCTTTCAAATTATCCATAGTGTTAGAATTTAAATGAGATACCTGTCCATTGCACACACGACTAGACTTAAACTTATCTTTTAGCATCTTTTTCTTTTGTATCTTATTTACTTGTCTCTTCAGCTCCTGCTTATTAATACATATTATTAGAAACAAATTTAACTGTTTATTCCTATAAATATACTGTAGAAATATAAATAAAAAATATATTGTATGTACCTGTGCTTTTCCTGGCTGCGTTTTATTTTTTATTGACATCACTCTTGTTCTTTTAGGTAATATTCTTGTGGAAATTTCTGGCTCACATCCTTTTTGTTTTCTACGTTTATGAGCTACTTTATGGCTAACATATGTTGGACTAGGTATACTATTGTACATAAAAAGATTGGATGTATGTTTAAGAGATTTTATATTTGTTACATCATTAATATCACTATCGCTACTACTGCCTTTCCATGAATCATTTTTGTTTATATCCAATGGCATAGGAGGCACACTGTGTTAAAATAAATTCAAGATTAAATAAGTATACATATACATAATTTTCAATATATGTATATTATGTTTTACAGGGTGGGCCATTTTAATTAATCTACACGGTTATCTCCCAAATTATTTGTTATTCAAAAAAATTTTTCAAACAGAACTTACTCTATTTTGAGGGGTCTTCTTAAGATGAACACATATCTTGCATAGGTAGAGGTAGAGGTATTTGTGAGATTTTAAGATAATCTTTGTTTTTTTTTTTAATTTTAGAAGAGGATAAAATCCTCTATTGTTTTTTCATAGAGGAAGCTTTGTTTTCGTCGTATATGAACCTTTGATTGCGTATAAAGTTGGGTCTAATCAATCAAATTTAAAAGAATTATATATGAAATAGGGGTAGAAAAAACCAAAGAAAAGATTGTTTTTGAGTTTTTTATGCTAATATGTTCTAAAATGTCAAAAAATTACGTTAAAAAAATGTCCGTGCGTGTGTTTGATGTCCGTGGTTGCTCTAACTTCCGCAAATTTTGAGATATCGGACACAATTTTTTTTCAAATGTAGAGTATCATTAAGAAGGTTGGTATTGAATTTGGCGATGATCGGTAAAAAGGTTCATTTTTTATAAAATTTTGAATTTTTTGAGAAATGACCGTGGCTGCTCTAACTTCCACAAATTTTGAGATATCAGATTATTTCTAATTCTATTATATTCTTCAGTCTTTTCTACCTCTATTTCATATATAATTCTTTAAGATTTGGTTGATTAGATTCAGCTTTATACGCGATCAAAGATCCATATGCAAAATCCATATATGGACCATGTAGCCTGAATTTACAAAGTCAACACCGATTTGACATTGCGTCAATTGTAAAACTCCACTTGTGCTACTATACTAATCCTTTTCTAATTTATAAAACTAGGTTAAATTTAAAATGAAAAAAAGTGTGCAAATTAGAAACTTGCACATTGCTTCCTCATCATTATACAGATCGCTATCATTGCTCCTATTTTATTTCGCTCATAAAGCTTCCACCATGAGGAAGCCAAACTAATAAATACTAATAATTATGCATCAAATAAAATACAAGCTTCCTCATAGAGGAAGCTTCATGAGCGAAATAAAATAGGAGCAATGGTAGTGATCTGTAATGATGAGGAAGCAATGTGCAAGTTTCTAATTTGCACACTTTTTTTGGCTGATGCATTCCGATATTCACTGTCAGTACTGCAAATCTATATTTTACGTCACGTATACTATAGATTTTCAGTATTGAAAGTTGAACATCGGAATGCAGCCTTTATTTTGTCACCTTTTTCTTTTAATCAATTATCATCTGAAACATTTTTCATTTGCTTAATATTTTTTGAGATATTCAAGGAAAATTCGATAAAATTTTCAATATTTAGCTTACGATAATTGTTTGTTACAGGTAAAAGTGACACAGAACTTTTTGATCTGATTTGGTCTCAAAAATATGCTGTTGCAAGTTGCAAAAATGCTCCCATTTTTGTAAATACTTATGTATGTTATAACATAATTTATACACTAATTCTATTTTCAAAAAGTTCTGTGTCACTTTTCCCTCCAACAAACAATTATCGAGATATTGTGTAAGCTAAATATTAAAAAATTTATCAAGTTTTCATTGAATATCTCATAAAATCTTAGGCAAATAAAGAAATGTTTCAGATAAAAGTTGTTCAATTTGATTAATAGAAAAAGTAATACAAAATAAAAAATAAAAAATTCCATTAAAAAAACACAAAGGGCACCTTGAAATCTTACAGACACCTACACTTACGTAGTGTCCATAAGATGTCTCTCTCAAAATAAAGTAAGCTTATTTATAACATTTTTTCGAATAAGCAATAGTTTTGGAGACAACCGCATAGATTAATTAAAATATATAGATTTATTCATGTTGCTTAAAATTTCCACAAATTCCTACACTTCAAACAAGATAAATATATATTGGACGTTAAAGAAAGAGAAAGCGAAAATTCTAAGTAAAGGCAACACGAACAGATCTATATACATATATATATATATATATATATATATATATATATATATATATATATTATACACATATATAAAACACAAAAGCAATGAGTAAATTCATATTAAATATAAACATGCTTAAAAATATCTACTTTGTTACAAATTTTTCTTACACTGCTCCTTTAGCAATTCTGTCGAATGTTGTTTCGAATGGATCATGATTTAAAGAATTATTATATGTTCCACTTTTATCGAAATGATTGTTTTCCACAGAATTATATTTTTCACTGGATATGGCAGACAATGCTAATAAACTTACGAAAGGTTTTTTCGCAGTTTTTCTTTGATAAGTTCGAATTGGTTGTTTGCTCATTGTTTTATCTAAAAATAAAAATATTCGCTTTAGTTTATAAGTCCGGTTAAGTTAGGTTATTTCAGAACATACAGACAAGTTACAAAATTTTTACAAGTTAGGTTAGGTTAGATTAGATAATATTTAAATAAATGGTAATTTTAATAAACGGTAAAATCAATATTGTTGAATTTATTTGCGGTTAAAAAAGGTTAAGTTCATCAAAATTGGAGGTGAAGGGTGTAAACTGAATAATTACCAAAAAGGCTAAGACTTGTGAAAGCTTCTTTTATAAGGCACTCCTTTCATAAATAGGCAATTTTTTGCGTGACTCTGGTATAAGCAACCAAAGGGTACCAAACTGCACCAGAACCACCTCTATGAAGTTGGCCGGACAACTTCAACGTATCGAACTTTCATTAATTGGAATCGATTGGTGGTCGTTTGGTGGTCTTTGATAGTCTAGTCCGATCGTTTGGTGGTTAGTCGTTTTCCTGTAAAATAAAAATGAAATTTCCGGTGTGAAGTTAGCCGGACAATTTTTATTTTTCAACCAATTTAACTTTTTTATAGCTCATTCGACGCGGAATCGTTTGGTGGTCACGAATATCATCAGAAAAACGTTTGGTGGTCAACCGTTTTTTCATAAAATAAAAAAAATCGTATGCGCATAATGCTGGACATATCACCACTGTGCCATTAGCCGGAAAAATTGTATTTATCACCCAAATTGACTTTGATAGGGCTCAATCGACGCGGAATCGTTTGGTGGTCACGAATATCGTCATTAAAACGTTTGGTGGTCAATGGTTTTCCTAAGAAATAGAAAAAACCGTACTCTCACGCCATTGGTCGTATGACTCCGTGACGTTAGCTCGGTAAGATGGATAAACATTATTTATCAATCAAATTGGCTTTTATACGGCTCAATCGACGCGGAATCGTTTGGTGGTCATAGTTGTTTATTCTCCTTGAGCTCGAAGAATAATCGAGTGTGATTGGTCTATTTTCTTACGGCCTTACGATTATGACTAAAACTTTGTTACGTGCAATGGCCTTAAGACCGTATCTACAATGAGTACAATGGGTGTAGTAAAGCGGGGAGCACACACTTCTGCACAACGCATAATGTGTAAGCATAA